TTGTCTCAGATGTGTTTCTTTTATATGTTTGTTTCACTTCTGCTGTGAGTTTTTTCCTTTGGTTATGTGCCTCCCTGCTTGCTTTTGGAACCAGCTCTTATCTGACAGCCTTGCTGGAACAGTGAGCCCTCAGATCATCTCCACCGGATAATAATACATGCTTTGAGTCTCCGCGGAGCCCAGCCCTAATTTGATTACCACTCACAGGGCAGCCAGCAGCCACAGTAAAGCTCTCACGGTGCAAATCACAGCCTCTGGGGTTTAACTCCTACGATTGACAGCAGATGCTTTCATAACTTAGCTCAAAACTTTATAGTGATTTTCCTGGGGGAGTTTTGTGTGTGTATCCTGCGAGTCCGTCTGAGAGTCGTTGGAAAACAATTCAGACTGTCACAGTCCCACGTTCCAGTAACATCTTGCAGTGTGCTCCCCCGCTTATTGTCAGGGTGCAGATCGGAGCCCTGCAGAGAAAGCTGGCCTGTGTGTCCTGGGCGGAGAACAGAACCACAGCAGAGAAGACTGGAGACCATTGTCCTGCACCAGGCTGATCCTCGGTCACTGATAATGCTGCTTACAGCAGAATGGGGGCTGTGTTGGGCTCTTTGATCACCCCGTATGAGCCTCAGCCCGATGTGATCATTAAAGTGACGCTTGTTTGCCGCTGTCTGTGCCATTACAACCCTAAATACAGTTTGTCGTCACGTTGGAATCTAAGAACATCTGGGAGCCGCTGCATATGTCCTGCTCGTGTACGTTGAGAGTTGGCACAGGATGGGGGCCTTCAAGGCTCATGACCCAGGCCCGTTTCCTTGTGGATGAGGAAACTGAGGCCCAGAGGGCCCACTCTGGAAGAGCTCACTGTCCAGTAGAAGAAGAACTGGGTCTCCTGTCCCTTCCCCGTCCTTCTGACTCCAATACCGCAGCCTCTCCCACCTTGTAAAGTGCGTCAGGCGTTGCCTCAGTTTTAGTTGTTAACATGTGGCCATCAGTTTTGTTTGTTCTTGGTTTTTTTTTTCTTTTCCCCCTAGGTTATCTCAAGATGAATTCGGTGTCTAAGATATAGGTACAGGGTGGGAAAGTAAAAGAAAGATAGAAAGTGTCCTGTGATTAGGTTCGTGTAGTGTTTATTTTTTAAAAAGAAATTTTTTTAATGGAGGTACTGGGGATTGAACCCAGGACCTCATGTGTGCTAAGTACACACTCTACCACTGAGCTATACTCACCTGCCTCGTTTAGTGTTTATATTTCCAAATTATTCTTGTCGGACCCACCACTATCTGAGGCTGTGCTACAGAGGGGTCCTCTTTTTGCCTTACCAATCATTTCTGACTTTCCCAGAATTGCAATGGAAACCTACATCCGGCAGAGGCAGCTAATCATGTCGCCCCTGATAACATCCCACGTGATTGGAGAGAATGAGCCACTGACTTCAGTCTTGAATAAAGTGATCGCAGCCAAGGAAGTGAATCACAAAGGACAAGGTACACCGCCCTGTGGACTGAGCTGGGAGGGGCCTCTGGGAGGGGAGGGGTGGCGTTCCGAGCTGAGTCCTTGGACTCTGGCCCATTCATTATCTTCCTCTGAAATAAAACAGACCGTGCTGGGGACTGTCCGCCTCAGCTTCCTGCTGAAGGCAGTGGAGAAAAAAGAGCCTGGAGTTGGACCGCAGGTGTATTTTGTCAATTCTGTAGAACAAATTCTTTCCCTGTGAGTCTTTCCTCACTCTTGTCTGCCCCACAATCCCAGTGCTGTCTCTAGGTAAATGCACAAAGAAAAAGAGTTATAAGGATGATTATGTTCCACTCTCTGAATATGTTTATTGCCTTCCATTGCCTCTAATTGAGAAGGAGACCAAAGGGATGCAAATGAATATGTATTAATATAAAATAGTGGGTTATCCAGCAAAACTTTTTTCGTTGTTTTTAGCGCCTCTGTATATCATTTTGTTGACATAGCTTTAATGAAGAGGAGTTCTGCTAATTGAAAGTGTATTTATAATTCAAATAGAAATGGAAAATAATTCGAGTGTTAAAATTCAAATACCAAGATGATGATGATTTGGGAATAATTTTGAAGATTGAATCTTTTTTTTAATGCTACTCTGTAATTGTCTTCCAAAGTGGAAGCAATTAAACACATTTTTAGCATATTTAGTTTGCCACGTAGTCTCTGATCCTGAGTTAGGAACACATGTGAGGCATCAGAGAATTTGAAAGTAAATAACTCAGTGTGTTTTCTGTTGTTTTGGAATTCCTCGTCTAAGGATGTCATTTGTTAGAGTACAAGACTCTTACACTAAATAGATTGCTGTGGATGTATAAATTTTTTTAACAAAATTGAAAGAAATACCATTCCTCCTCTCCCTTCTGAACAAAACACTTTTCAAATGTTTTTATGCTGTTCATAAAAAAATTTCATGGCTGTGTAATATTCCATTGCTTGGATTTTTTTTTTTTCCCCAGAGCATGGAATCCCCTATGTAAATATTTAAGTCCTTCCTAATTTGTCACCATTGTAGTTTGTCACTGTATTTAGGACTGCCTCCCTAAGAAAATTCCAGAAGTAGGATTTCTGGGTCAAATGATGGGAACAAGCTTTAACCTGGCCATAAACATATTGCCAGAAGCTTCTCATAGGTTTCTTCCAGTGGGCACTAATTCCCATCTGCCTGCTTTGCAAACTGATGTTTAAAAATCTTTACCTGTTTGAAAGGGGAAAAGTTGACTTCCAAAGCGCTCTCAAATTTTAAGAAACAACTTGATGTTGAATTCTCTAGCCCTCATATGTATTTGTTTCTCAAGTTTTCCTTCTCAGTTTTTGTGAGCTCTTTGTTTAATGAACGTAACAACCTGTCGTGTTTAGGACGCATGCATCTCAATTTCTGGTTTGTCAAATATTTATAAACTTCTTGTACTTCCATGTGGGTTGTCTATTCACGTACTGTTCATTTGTGAGGATCTTAAGGGTTTTCTTCTAATGAGTATAAATTCATAATTTCTTACAAGGATTTCACCAGGCCTTTTATAGGCATGTGAACTGTGCCTTGTACTTTTTTATGAATATCAAAATTTCAGTTTGTATAAATAACTCTTGCTTTTATGATTTCTGCATTTGTTTTTCTATTTAGAAAAATGATTCGTTCTCAGAGATTTAATAGCTGTACACTTATTTTTCTTTTAATTTCCTATCTTTTTTTCTGTTGTATTAGGAATTTATTTTCGTGAAAATGTGTGGTGAGAGATTAGATTAATTCTGTCCTGAGTAGGTAGAAAATTATCCCGGCACATGTCTGAAATTGTTGTTCCATTTTTTATGATTTGTTATGTCTCTTTTTGTGTATGTTTAATTGCTATATATAATTTTACTTGATTTCATTGTTTCCATTGGTTTATATATCTTTTCTACTACTAATATCACATTTACTATAACTTTACAGTATTTTGGTATCTCATGGGGGCTATATAAACATCTGTTCACATCTCTCAAATTCTTAAAGAAGTCCTGTGATTTTGTTGGGAGTGTCATTAAAATTCTAAGTTAACTGGGAGAGAATTTACATCTTTATAATAATGTGTCTGTGTATCAATACCACGCCTTTATTTTTCTCAGCGTTTGTATGTGCATTTATTATATAGATCCTAACAAAGAACTGAAAGTTTATCTTTTATTTCTTTCAAGGACTCTGGGTGTCCTTGAAGCTATTGCCGGGTGACCTCACGCAGGTTCAGAAAAACTTTTCACACTTGGTGGATAGATCAACAGCGATTGCCCGGAAAATGGGCTTTCCGGAAATAATCCTTCCAGGTAAACACTGTGCTTGACTCACCTGTTCTGTGTCCTGGAGGACTGCCTTCCAGGCAGCAGTTACTTCTCATGGGAATCTTGGAGCCATAAGATTTCGTTATTTGCATTCAGTGATACCAAGACAGTGGGAAATACAGACAGGGTTTCCATACCTTAAAAAACTGCCAAGTGGAAAAGCCCAAGTTAATGCTTTTAAAAGTAACTCAGAAATTTCTCTTTGCGTTCTCTCCGTGTTCTGCGCAAGCCCCTCCGAAGTACTTTCCTAGACCACCCGTTAAGTAGAGCCACACAGCTCAAATTCTCTGCCTGGAGCATAATTTGCTCTTCTCACGATGGCATCACCAGCATCGTGTGCTCCTCGCCAGGGAGCTCCGGCGAGGTGCCTCCCCAGTTCAGATGTAGCTGGACCTTCTGCTCCATTGGCTTGAGCTCCAACTGTGTTCCTGGCTCTCACTGTACTTGTGGCGACAAGACTGTAAACATTCTGCAGTTTCCTGCTTTACTTTCATCTTTTTTGTCACCACATGTTGGTGATCTGCGTGTGCGTTCTCTTGAATTCACTGGTTTAACCCATTTACTCTCTTAATCGTTATAATGGTAACAGGCAATCATCCCCTCAAGGAACTTTATATAAAATATATGTATTACAGATATTAAAATATGAATACGTTGTTTATTTTATAGATAGACTGTATGAATAAACAATCTTTGGCATGTTAGAAAAATTCTAGAAAACCGAGCTATTATCCATTGCATTAAAAACTCAGTTTCTCTTTAGCTATTGTAAGATCTTATTCCTCCTTTGGGAGATTAAGGAGCAGTAATAACTTGATGCCTCACAAATTTCTTTTTACATGTATTTTTTTCTTTAGTTGAAGTATATAGTCAGTTTACAATGTTGTGTCAATTCCTGGTGTAACACATTTCTGTACGTAGTGAGTGTTAAAGAGAGTATCTGTGGAATGAATGAATGAAAGAGCCATAGAATGGAGATTATCTTCTCCTTTTCTCATGAAGAGTAGTTTTCCATCTGCTTTTTTCATCCCTTCCGGAGCCATTTCACCCTAACACATACTCATCAACATTCTGGGGAAATGTTTTGTCTTCTTCTTGTTTATAAAAATGAGTAATGGTGCTATTCTTATAACTGAAGGCAGTCTTACTGCTACAGCAAGACAGAAATCTGACCAAATCGAATATGGAGGCTTATCTTTTGGGCAAAGTGAATTTATCTTTGACAGCTGTCTGGAAAAATTCTTTCTAATCAACAGTGTTCATTCAGAGACCGCCAGGCCTGTCACAGGCATAAAGCACCGTCTCCACGATGGTTCCCAAATGCCGCTTTTGGTATCAGCATGTTAGGATCACCTGGGAAACATTAAAATTACAGATTCCCAGATTTTT